AATGAGGAGATGGAGCATTTTCGCGGTCTTAGGTTAATAACTTTGTAAAGTGTGATCGGATTTCTACTAAATTTCGTGGACACATTAAGCTGGAAACTTCTCATCACGCTACAAAAGAATGATCCGGATTGTTGATCATTCTGAATCTGAGAAGGATTTTTTGAGTATTCGAAGGTGAAAAGGAGAGGCGTGGCGAGGGTATGCAATCTTTCTGATTGCTCTTGTTTGTGATTGTATTGTGTTTTTGCTTTTGTGAAGAAACATTTTTGTACTGGAGTATCTTTCGATGTCGAATCTTTATAGACCACCCCGGTTGGAGATCACTACATTGCATAGTCTATTATCTTTCGAACCTATAATTAGTGAGTCTAACTGACTGTTCAGTAGGGAAACGTTGCATGACCAATTGCATTAATTAATTAACTAATAACAAGCATAAAGTAGCATATGATCTTTAAATGTCAAACAGTTTCACAATTTATTTTATTGTTTTTGTAAATTTTGAATCCTTAACCCTTAAAAAAACTAAAAATTAAAAACATTTAAAAAGTATGAAAAATAAAATTTTTCAATTTAAATGCTTTTAATTACGTTTTTCTCAAAATTTGAAAATTAACATTATCTCATAGTGGTTTTTAACGCATAACTTCGTATCTGTTAATTCTATAGGCTTCACAATTGGTATAAATATGCAATATTAGTGTATGGATACTATGTACTACGGTAAAGTTGATGAAAGGTTTGGTTTTATTAAATGACCATTAACGAGTCTGACTTAGAGCATACTCGTTAGTGCCGTAATTTGACCTCGACTTAGTTTTCAGTTTTCCTTAGTTCAAACTAATTCTTCGCATCCAATCAAAGTCTGGACCAATTTCACGAAGCATTCAGTCATGTTTGTAGAAGTTATCAGGAACATAATACATAATGCTTTCTATACCTTTCATTTATATTAGGTCGTCAAGAAATTAACGTCGCGTTATGGAACAATTTCATTAACCACCCCCAAAAAACGTACATCACGTATAATAGTTAAACGAACCGCCTAAACGTCACGTTAATGTAGCCTATATAATATGTAAATTTTAATATACTCTAATCCAGCGGTTCCCAACCTTTTCACCACCAAGGACCCCTTTTATTATTATTTTTTGAAATATTCCATCTACCCAACAAACTGTTTTTTTTACTAATAATTAACTTGTTTTTCCATTTTTCACTATCAAATAAAAGACATATATAACTGAGTGTGTAATTAAAAGAACAGCAGAATTAAAAACTTACTTGTTTAATGAG